TATTATTCCCGTTTATTAAGGTAAAAAAACTCTAAAAATTTTGTCGATTTTAATATGAACTTTTTGGACAACAAATTATATCGATTTTTTAAAAAACTTTTTTTGATTAAAAAAAGCCATTATTAGAATAAAAACAAAGAAAACACCATAAACAATATTTTTTGTTAAAAAGTAAACTTTTTTGCCAACAGCCACAACATTTACTATATAAATGTCCAACCCTGATTAGGTACGTCGGCGAGTTAAGATAAAAGTTTAAATGAAACAAATGATTAATAAAACATTATTTTAATTGATATAATTCCCATTTTGTTTATACTTAAAAATAATTGAAATTATTATAAAATTTGTTATATAATTTGTTACACAATTTGATTGTTTTTTTTAATTAAACAAATATATAAAAAACAATCAAAAAAAGTTGGTCCACCAGCATCTCCATTTGTGGACGACTTTTGGGGTTCTGGCAACAACATTGTGCGATACTGCTGTATTGTTCTTCTTCTATTGGGGGTTTTCAGCCGATTGTTGTGAATCATAAACTCCGCGATTTTCCATTGAAATTAGAATGTGTCGTTCTGATAAGCCTCAGACCACCCAAACACTCAAACATGGTGACTCCAAATGAAAAGATATCAGCCGCCTTCTTATACTTTTCTTTGTTTAAAATTTCAGGTGCCATATACACTGGAGTTCCAATACCCTTTGTGAATGTCATGTTAGTCATCAGCATGTTGACATTTCTAGCACTTCCAAAGTCAGTCAATTTGCATTGACCTTCTCATTCAAGTCAAGTGAAATAATTAGAATGTTGTCTGGTTTGATGTTTCTGTGTAATATCCCATTTTCATATAAATACAATACACCTCTTGCTCCATCAATCATCATCTAAACTCGAATTTTCATTGGCGGAATTTGTTCACTTTTTCTGTGTTTGATCAAGTCTTGTAGACTGCCATATTGTGCAAATTCGGTGACCATACATATCTTATTTGGTATGAACACAGCGCCATAGAAGTGGACGATATACTCACTTCTAAACTTATCCAACATTGATACTTCGTTCTCAAATTCTTTGATGAGTTTGTCTGTGTCATTTGACTGTTTCATTTTCTTTATAGCAACAACATTTCCTCTGTAACTTCCTTTGTAAACAATTCCAAACGATCCTTCACCAAGTTTCTTGTCTTCTTTCAACTCGTCGTAATCTAATTTTGTCGAGTTTTCTGTTGTGATTTCAATGGCAATTGGGACAGACAAAGTCTCACTGTTTTCGATGTTCATTGTGACTATCATCATCTCGTCGTGTAATTTCAACGAACAATGCGGTGTCACAAACACCTCAAACTCGCACGCCTCGCCTTTCTTTAAAGTCACCAATTGCGGCTCGGTGCGAATTGAGTATTTGTCGCAGCCGCCACGTGTTGTCATTTGGACTTTCAAAATGCCTTTGCCTTTGTTGCCAACACAGAAAAGTTCACGAGACTCCTTTTCAACGGGAATGACTTGACTGGTGTCATTAAATGTCAGCGAATTTTTATTTGTTAAAATGTTGCCGTCTAACACACTCATTGCGATGTTTGAACGACCCATTTTAAAGACACAGATGTTCTCCATTTTCTTTGTTTCTTTGCGCTTTTGTAATACAATAATTGTAACCACTATAATACTAATGATAATAAGTACTATGATGAACACAGAGACAATTGGAATGCCAACTACAACACCATAATTTGTTGTGTGTATACAACTTAACATGTCGTCACTCAACTTGTAGTTATCATCACATTTTGAACATTTGTTGTTGGCAGACTCAACACAATTCTCGATGGCTGTGTAATGTGAACAGACACCTGACACAAGTACATTGTCTTTCACACAATCAGTGCACTCATTGATGCCATAACATTGTGTACACGTGTCTTGACACTTCACACACAAATTGTTGAGAGATAGTGTCCACTTTCACATTGCATACAACCAGCTGTTGTTTTGTTTGCACAAAAAGTCAACTCGTTTTGTGGCGAACACAATTTGGTGACATTTGATGACGTGCGATAAAATTTGTCATTGCACACAACACAGTTTCCTTCGTTTGTGCACGTCTTACATGACTCATCACAGTCAATGCACGTTGACCCATCGAATGACCGCATGTATCCCTTGCAGACTACACACCCGCGATATGTGGACATCAACACGTCACACACAGCAACAAGTTCGTTGATTTCAGTGCAAACGCCTTTGCTGTTTGCATACGAGTAATCGTCGCACTTTGTGCAGAATGTCTGATTTGAACAGTAGACACAGGGTACTCACATTTCACACGTGCGGTCTACGAGGTAATACCCACTGAAACACCTCAGACACCCCTTTGTGGTGCTCACTTCACAATGGCTGTCTGTCTGTGTGTCTTCCTTTTTTATTGTTTCTTTGGTGGTCTCATTTGGAAGTGTTTGTTGCACACACAAATATCCATCGAAATTGTAATCAGACTCGCACTCAACACATTTGGTGTTGAGCGACGAGACAACACCACAATTTGACAACGCGCCAGTCTTCTATTTACAAGCATCAACGTCTTTGTAATAGCCACTCTCACATATGACACACACTTTGTCAAATGAAGTGCAGTGAATTGATTGGGTGTCCGTGCACACGCCATCAACGTTGATGGTGTTGTTACATACAATGCAAATATCTCCATTTTGGTTATCGCAATTTGGATTGTTTTGTGAACACTTTCCTTGTGAGATGTGTTGTTTTGAATTACATATGATACAATCATTA